ATATATATATATATATATATATATTATATATATATATATATATATATAATCTATTGTTGCTGATCTCTTTTCGCTACTTTGTTCATTCAACAGCATCCACCCGTTTTATCATTTCTATCTCATTTATAGATTACTACTTGGTCGTCAATCTCCAGCGATAGTATTATTAAGTCTAAGAACACACACAAAATCACTCACAAACATCACATACTCACATAATATAGGCATATATAAATCACACCCTGTAATCCTTGCATACATCACTTACGGTAGTCCTTACCCTCTTCTCATTCACAGCAGAAATACTACTCCTTCGACAGCCCGGATACCGTCCGCGTGGCGACGGACGCCACCCAAAGCTTTGCATTGCAACCGCCCCGAGAGCACACCACAGCCTCCATGATCAGCTCATCGATCGCCACAGGCGGTGGTTTGGAAGACAAAGACACATGGAAGTACACGGCTATGGACATGCCCTTGTTTATCGGGCCGCACCTGTGCAACACTGCGGAAGAGGGTGAGCACACGCACACGTCGAGCGGGTCTTCACAGGCATCTCTGTCGGTGTCTGGCAGCGGGGATGGGGCTGATACGGACGGTGGCGCGCAGGTGACGGTCATGAATGAGAGCAAGCGCAAGCAAAAGAAACTGTCGAGACGGCGCAAGGTGGAGAAGTTGTTAAAGCAGAAGCTGGGCGAAGACAAGCATGGAGGGACGGGTAAGCGGACTAGTAAGTGGACGTCTCTGAATACGTGTGACGAGCTAGTGACTAGCAGAGACTCGGCGACCGGCGGGATAGTGTCTAAGGAAATGGTGGATGCGGTGGGCGTGTCTGGGCCTGAGGGACAGGAGCAGGCCAGTTCAAATAGTCGCGCCAAGCTCAAAGAATGGGCGACGGTGAAGATACGGCAGAAAAACCGTACTGCCGATGAGAAGCACGAATTTACCGCTTTTAAGGGTGATAAACGCCATAGTTTTGCGGGTCTAATCCTACCCCGGAGTATAGTGGACGCATCGCACAAAAATGCTGTCACAGGTATGGCCGGTGAAG